AAAGCTGCTTCAGCCGTGCATCAGAAGCTGGTATAACAGCAAAAAAAGAAAGCAGCAGACGCGATTTTGCTGCTCTTGCTGCGTCCGGTGTGAAAGCAGCATGATTCACTCCGCTCTGGCTTTGCTCTGCCCACGGGCTGCTGAGAGTAGGATGGTTGCGCCGGCTGTGGTCCGCTCTTCTTGCAGTCAAACACCGAGCAACTTTCTGCTCTTAAATTGTTTCCGTGCACGATGTATTGAATTGTGCACTATTAGCATCAGTGTTAATAAAGTGAAGCCACACTTTTGACCTGGGGGGCATTTTAAAGGGGTTCCGCGACGCTCGCAACCAGTTCACAACAGATACATGAACCCTGGCTGTAGGCGTGACCACCTGTGTATTTTTCCTGAATGACGCAATCACGTTAAGTGTTACAGCCAATCACCGAAAATTGGTACCGAAAGACGAGGCATGTTTCGATACTCTGTAGAACCGAAGCATTTCGGTCGGTACCATAAAAGAACCGATGTTCGGTACCCAGCCCTAGCAGGGCGTTAGTAAAGGCTTGATTAAGTGATATCACTAAAAGTGAAAACAATCTTCAACAACATTAGGTAAGAGAACAATCAACTCATTTGATATTAACGAATAACAGAAACTTTAAACAGAAGCAGAGTGTTTTTATCAGCCTGACAATATCCATGATTTTAGATGCAGGCCTATAAAATCCGATATTAGGTTTTCAATATTGTATCGATATTTGTTAGAATAATTGTATATAAATGTATCTGTGTAGTGTTATCATGCATAAAGCTGTGTGCTATGTGCATGTGTTTATAGCCATCTTTTCTGAAGTATACTGTGATTTGTAGATTTGCTTTTGGGGAGGTGTGGTTGATCTACGAGCAGCACTCGACCTGCTGAACTTTGGTAAACAGCTTCAACAGCTTAAACTTTGACTGATTCCTGAGCTTTAGAGGACATGTTTACTGAGACTGCAAGTCTGAGGTCCTTATGCGTTTCCCCCCCCGTGTAGTCTCAGAAGGGACCACTGATTCCAATAAATAGCCAGGAGAACGCTGACACTGCAGAGTGGGTTAAGATTTGTAAACTCCGCAGTCTCTTCCAACTCTCCTCGCGAGTAAACTAAATTAATTGTCTCTGTGCCTTCTTTCTTTCCCTGCATGTATGCATGATGTTTTAGGTGCTTAGACCTGGCAATATTCAAGATTAATAACGACTGGGACATCCCTAAAAATGTATAAATACACAGAATGTCCTTCGTTTGAGATTCATTTTAGGCTTACTAAATTAGACATAATAAAAATTTGAAAGGTCTTTAAAGTCTTTCTATTTTGGTCAAATTGAGCAATGTTTGGCATTCTTAAGGCTGATTTATTCTCAGAAACCAGGTCGTCTGCATGTCTGTCACAGTTAACGCAGATAGGCCCCCACCCCTTCCGCAGACACTCTGCTGCACCTCTCCAAAATTGGAGGTAGCTGAAGACAAGAGGCCTCTGAATGGTCAAATCTACATCCGCTCTACACTATGCTCATTTCTTGTTTGGTACCTTTCTGGCCTGTTTTGTTTGTATGACCGCCATTATGGAAAACGACACGTGAAGGTAGAAAAGCGAGGTGCGCGAGAACGCTGGGACCCTTTTTCCACCTGGATCCCCGCTCTTTTTCACCCTCATGTCCCTTCAGTGTCGTACAAACTTGCCCCCACTTCCTCACCACCACGGCCGTATCTAGACCCCCAGCTAGTTCATGATTGTCCCTCTTGAGTTGTGGCGTAGAATAACAGTGCAGACCAAGCTTAAAAATTGGGCATAAATCAAAAAGCAATCTCATGGCAACACACTGCTGCAGGAGGATAACCAGCCCTTTAGACTGGTGTAATATAATGAGTTATTGTGCATTCAGGGATTGACCAAAATAATTCACTCGATAGATATCCATACCCTCCTAAAGGGAGAATAACTTATTTTTGTCCATTTTTTTTCTTTATAAAAAAAGAGTGATGTAAAGTGTTGTGACAAAAGAAACTGCAGCAAAGGGTGGTTTTAAAAAGCAGAAAGATAATGGAAAGCCATGAAAGACTGAGTGAAAACCGGCTTCATCTTATCTACTATGCACCATTCTAATAAGATGTATTTTGTAGTTATAACTGGTGATATCCTGAAAAGTGTGAATACTTTTTCAATGCAAAAAAAGGTGTGTTTAAATAAATGTTTCTAAATTCAGAGCCACTCTGTGCGTTTTAAACACCCTGGCCAGAACCCCTCATCAATAAAATTAGTTCTACTTACCCCTTCAGTTCTGCATATTTGACAAGTATCCTGGCATAGCTGCTGTTTTTGCTGTACTGTCTGATTGGAAATCGGGCAAAGATGTCTGAGCAGCAGTCTTTGAGCTTATTGAGGAGGCTGATGTCTGTGTGAGGGTTTCCTCTTTTCTCCAGGTTCATCAAGTACTTCCAGCACGACTCAGGAGAATTGGAATTGAGGATTTGTTCAAAGGTGGCAGTCATATCTGCAGAGAAAAATGAGGAAACATGACTTATCTCAACCGCTCCTTCATGTTTGTATGGAAAATAAGCATGTTGGATGTCAGCATATTGGTAAAGAGGTCGGTTTTTTACCCTCCATTTTTGAAGATTCTCTCACGTTGCGACTTTGAAGGAGTTTTGTGGTGGAATCTGCCTGCTCCTCCCACTGGCTCTGATCCGGACTGCGAGCTGGTAACTTCTAACACATTAAATTCTTATGCTACAAACCATCTTTGAACTGAAGCACAAGTTTGCCCGTCCTACAAAAATCGATGTTACTCACCTGATCCCTGACAACATCTCTGCCTTCAGCACTGTTCCTCGAGAAAGAGATTGCGAGTCCAGAGCTCCTATTTGAACCAGATGTTTGTCTGTAGATAAATAAACAGATAACAGGTTGAAAAATAAAATTTTCTATAAGTAAAACACTGAAATTTCATAAACATTAAATGGAACCATTTTAGCTTGGATCTATTTTTGTATGAAGTGCTTCACAAAACTATTCACAACATTTACAATTTCACAATCTGCAGATTACATTACAAAAACTAAACATGGATTTTTAGGTGAATAAGCAAAAAGCAGAACAAGAATGAAAATAAAATGGTTTGTTTTTAATTTCCGCACCCACCCCCGCAAAAAAAAAAAAAAAAAATAAAATGGTTTGTTTTTAATTTCCGCACCCACCCCCGCAAAAAAAAAAAAAATCTGTTTAAAAGGGAGGCTTATATTAAACTGTAATATAAGATTTAATATTTGAATTTTACTAACAGTCTTTCATTGTATTTCTTCGCCTGCTTTCTGCAGAGAACACAATTCTTCTTGTGAAAGTACTTTAAATATGAAATTATTACATACTGTTCAATTAATGAAAAGTGTTTTAATTAATAGTAATTTTCATTTGAATGTGCTTTACTGGAGGCCTCCATGTTTGTCAAGGAACACTACTGCCACCTTATGGTCTATGACATCACGGTGCGTTATCTGTTGTTGAGCAAGTCCCAGTGCTGTATCTGGTGTTTGTCACAACGCGCTATTATCCAAATCATTTTGAAAACATTCTTCTTCCAAATGTTGGCAACATATTAAGTGTTTCTTCTCTGGCCAGAAGTTTGATGGCAAATCCTCCCTCGTCAAGTTGGCAATTCAACGACGAAACCGTCCGTGGTGGATCAGGAATCAAAAAGGTGAAATGACACGCTAGCACGGTTCCTCGCCTCCTATTGGAGGTCCAGGATACTACAGCTCTCAAGGCGGCAATTACGCAAACAACAATGGCAGCACCCATAACATTTCAGAACTTATGTGCCTGGTTAGCCGCCCAAATTTCAATGAGAGCCTCGGTCTCGGCATCATCCCAGGTCGCACCACGCTCTTTTGATGCCATTTATTGTTAACAAACTGAAGAAGTTTGTGATGTGAACAGGTGAAGAGATCTTTGAATTGCAAAGCCAGACATGGCAGAAAAAAAAATGCAAAATGAGTCAGCTGACTGAATAGGAGAGCCCTACTGTTGAACCACTACTGTAGATTTAGAGCCGTCCGTTTTTTTTTTTTTGACACGGTCCAGTTCAGTTCCATTTACACTCAACAGTTATCTTGTTTACCATGCTCGCACCGTTCTCAGCACGGTTTCAAAAAGGTAGTTTAAATGTGGCTATAAATATGCTTTAATCTAAACCTGTTTGTTTGTTTCTATTGGATGGTTAACATCTTTCCCCATACTAGGCATTTTAAAGCCATGTACTATCTTTCTTATTTTTTCTCTGTGTTTAACTAAGGCTTCTCTGTCAATGCTGAAAAAAAAAAAACAAACAAAAATATCTTGCCGTTTTCTCCTCAACAAATCTTTAGTATAAACAGAGGTTAAACCCAGTTTCATTCATGGTTGGGGCTTTTTGTTAGTTTATAAAAAAAAAAAAACTCAAACAGGGACTCAAAAAAGGAGAAGTAAAATGTATACATAAAAATCCCACCTGGACAAACTGCTGGTACTGGATACATTGCTTGATTTGGAGACTTTCCAAAGGACATCATCATCATCAGGATCGTTTTCTGGAATTGAAAATGGTAAGACGGGTACTCTCCCAGGCTAAAAAAAAAAAAAAATGTAATTAAATAATTATAAGAACATTTTAGTTATTCTTTTTATTTTGCAGAATGAACCGCACCAAGCCAACTGCTCTTTTACGATGGGATCCTGATCTCCAACCAGGAAACTGATCGTCTGAAGACCCAGACATTGGCTCCGCCCTGAGGACACAAAGTAATATACATAGGTGATAATAAAATACATAAAATAGAAAAATCTGATGTTCTTCTTTAACAAAACCAACAAAAAATAAAATCTGCTCTATTCTTACCCCACATTGAAAATACTGGAGAGCTGCAATTCACCAGTTCCATCAGATATTCTTTGGACTTTAGAGAATTCTGAGCTTTTTTTGACAGCAGAATCCTGTGCATTTTTTACAAATAATACTGGAAGAACAAAGAAAATATATAGATAATGCAGGTCTAATTAGTGAGACAAAAAGAAATAAGCTTTGTAAAAAAAAAAAAAAGTTTTAAATTTTCTGAACATTTCAGTATATAATAGCTGAACACTCACATGGCAAGTTCTCTTTATCCTCCAAACAGATCTCGCTTTTTTCAGTCTGCATCCTCTGCAGCGCCGCCACCAGCAACTCTTTTGGTTTGGCGTCCACCTCAACAGCATTCTGAAGTATCTGGACGGCTTTTTTTATGTTGCCTGACGTCACAATGGGAAATATGTGGGGATCATAACACTTCAGCAAATCTAAAACAGGGGCTAAAAACAGGACGTTTCTCTACCTTGAGATTGCTCAAACTGTGCGTGCGCAATGTGGACAAAGGCAAAGTCTTGACTGTGAGTTCTTGCCAAGTCGAAGTGGGTCTCTGCCTCGGCAACGTCCTGAATTCTAACAGAATAAAAGAAAAAAAAAAGGTTGTTTACAAAACGCTCTTCCCAGATTATTCAGTGGCTACAAATAAAGTGCAATCTTTTTAGCAGTTTGACATAAACTACAAACCTCAATGTATTTTATTTCAATGTATTGTAAAAAAAAAACAAAAAAACAACATACAGTAAAGCATAATTGTGGATTGAAAGGAAAAGTATGTCTTTCCAAATGTTTAAATAAATAAATGTGACAAAGGTATATGTTTTTTTTATGCAGAATTTTGTGTTCTAGTAAATAAATTATAATCTACACTGGAGGCTATGATTGCAAAGCAAGAAGCTCTAAATGTGCAACATTTACTCACGCTTTCAGCTCGGCGAATCTGACCAGCATCTTAGCGTAGCTTTCATTGTGACAATGCTTCCCCAGTGGCATGCTGAAGAACACTCTGGTATAAAAATCTATTAGTCTGGTGAGGTGGTTCCGATCCAGCTGAGGATCCCTTTTCTTCTCTAGATCCATCAGATACGCCAAGCAGGATTCTGGTGAGTTGGAGCCGATGACTTGGTTAATGTTGTCCGTGTCATCTGAAATGAGTTAAATCATGATGTCATGAGGTTGTACACAACAAGAGATCAAAGTGGAATTGTTCAAGGAGCAGCAGTGAACCTGTTAATTACCTTCATCAAGATATTTTTTGATTTTGCTGAGCTTTTGATAAAGCATGGCCAGCTGCTGCTGTCTGTCTTTGAATGCCTCATCTTCCATCTGCAAAACAAGAAGCTCTTTAACACTCCTACCAAAGATTTGTTTGTTTTATTTAAAATCAAAACATACAGTGACAAAATATAATTAAGCCACAAAGATGAAGTCTTTCACCATCACCAAGATGTACTTATTAGACAAGAGGTGATTAAATACAAGTTTTTTTTTGGTTTTGTATTCACTTTTTAATTTTACCTAAGAAACAAAGACAAAGTCTTGTTATTTCTGGGCTGGAACATATCTTATGTGATCTATATGCAAAAATAATAATATATATATATATATATATACACATATATATGTGTGTGTGTGTGTGTTTATGTTTTCACCGAACAGAACAAGGTATCAACTGGGGATCAGTTTAGTCCACAACCAGCGTAGAATCAATTGAAAGCCATGAGAGACTGAGGGAAAACCTGCTTCATCTTATCTACTATGCACCATTCTAATAAGATGTATTTTGTAGCTATAACTGGTGATATCCTGAAAAGTGTGAATACTTTTTCAATGCAAAAAAAGGTGTGATTAAATAAATGTTTCTAACTTCAGAGCCACTCTGTGCGTTTTAAACCCCCTGGCCAGAACTCCTCATCAATAAAATTAGTTCTACTTACCCCTTCAGTTCTGCATATTTGACAAGTATCCTGGCATAGCTGCTGTTTTTGCTGTACTGTGTGTGTGTGTGTGTGTGTTTATGTTTTCACCGAACAGAACAAGGTATCAACTGGGGATCAGTTTAGTCCACAACCAGCGTAGAATCATTCCCTCAAATTGAAATTGTATTGTTTTTAAACTATAGGAGATTAGTAATGCTCAGGGCAGTAGAACAAACAACGGATTTTTCTTAAATTACGAGTTTTGCGAATCGGAAGCGAACTTCAGTTTCGTCTTTAAGAACAACAGTAACGTTAATCTAAAGCGAAGCTCCTAGCTTTCCACGAAAGGCAGGACATATCCCTTAACGACGAGACACATAAAACGGTTAAAAAAAAAGAAGTTTCTTGTTCACAAAATAAGCTAACAAAGTTTGCTAGCCAGTAGCAATGTTGCTAGCGCCGAATAGCATTTAGCTCCAGCAGTACATCCGAGCATGTACTAACAAACTTTATGCCGATAACCGTAAAAAAATATTTCTTACCTCGTTTATGCTGTCTTAAATGAATTCCAGCTGAAATTCCAATATAAAATTTCCTATTCACAAGTACTGTGTCCAACGAAACGCATAACAGTAACTGGCAATTTTCAAATGTTGCCACTTCCATTCAATTCGCGTCCGGATTGGCTGGTTCCTGATGTTATTCTTCTTCTTCTGTTTGTTTCATGGCAGATTGCAACCTTGACTTTTAGGTGCATAGCGCCACCTACCATACCGGAGTATGGAACATGAGTCATATTAATTTGAAGAGTACCCCCCCTTTTTTTTTTTTTTTTTT